ATGATGTTTCGGTGATGGAGGGGAATACCGACAATCTGACACCAGCGATTTCAGCGGAAATTCTGTGGAACCTTTTTGAGCAAAACTTTCGTTTGGAGCTTCGTATGGTCGACCAGCAAGTTTTACCGGCAAATTGGGCCTCGCAGGAATTGGCGGCAGTTCGAGATGAGTTGGTTTGGAGGACTTTCCCTGAGGACGATGATGGATATATTGTTGGGAGATTGCCAGAGACCAATGTGGGACTCGTCACAGAGAACTGGAGGGATCGGGCAAGGTTGGTAGAAGCTTTATGGGCGCTCATCATAGGTTGGCCTGGTCCTGATGCGTGTGCACTTGCATCAATGTCAATATTTGATGGGTCTGGGAAGTTGGCAACAATGCGCACGGACTTTGAGCATATGGAGGAAATGGCTGTCGGACTGTATTGCCAAACATTCTTCGATTACTTTGGTCGTGCCCCCTCCACCCCACATCGCATTGCTACTTCATAATTGCCAACTTTGTCATCTCGGATTCTTTTGTCTTGTCGGTGTTTATATCTTGCACGTTTATTTTGGTACCTTTCTTTTTTTAATATACATGTGAACTTGCATCCGTTTTAGGAAAGTTTTGGGGTCAGATAAGAGTGCCTTGTCTGTGATCGACATTCTGCTTTCTTCCCCCTTCTTTGTGTGTCCTTCACTCAGCCAAGTCATCATGTCAATGTACAAGAAAAAACCAGCTAAGTCTTTGCCACCAGAAAATGCTGGCCTTTTTCCTGTAAACACTGCACCCAAATCCTTGAAGGCCCATAAAGCTGTTAAAGGAAATCTGTACACACCAGCTGGACATTTTGTCCAGCCCTTTAAGCCTGGGGTTTCCAAGAAAGCAGACCCTTTTCAGCCACTGGCAACAACTCTTACCTTTGAAAATGAAGGTGATACTGTCCAGTTACCAGGCAAAAAGCAGAAACAATTTCAGCATTGGGAAACTGAGGTTTTTCCCAGTCTAATGGAGCCATATGTCAAACTTCTCCATGAAACGGACTCTTTGCAAGATATGGTGCAAGTTCGTTCTTGAAGTTGCTGCTCTGGTTGTGGGTCAGGCAGACAGTTGAATGTTGCATGAATTTTCTTTGAGTGTATGTGTTCTGGTATATCTCGAGAAGTCACTAATAATTTTGGCAGGTATTGAGATTCTTTCCCTCTGCAATTGCACTTCCCCAGCACTTCAACTCCTTGAGCTAGGGTTCTTTCCATGTGCACCAGTTAATCCATCTCTCGCAGTGGACTTGAATATGCTCGAGTTTGTAAATGAGCTGTTTGTAAATGCAGCTCCAAATACTACAGCTTGGTGTGAAACCTTGGAGACCTTTCTTGGAAACAGAAGATACAAGTTAACAACTCGGGTATGTTTTATTTGTTTTCTGTCAATGTTTTTTCCTTGCTCAAAAGTTCTTTTACTTTAGAATAGTTTGTGTCGTCGTTTTGGAAGTGCTATGCAGTGGTATGCGACTTTGATTGACAAGAAGAACCTTCTTGTCAACAATTATCTGGATGATATGAGAAGTTCAATCAAATTTTCAGGTATTTCTTGCCTATGACAATGTTTCTTGGAACTAAAAACTTTTCAAACAGAAGACCATGATATTGAGCAAGGTATTTCTTTTTCTGGCTCAGTCAAGATATATTTCTGCTGCAACTCAAACATTTTTTCACAGATGAAGAAATGGACCAAGGTTTTTTTTTTTTAATCAGAAAGATTTGTGTAATTCTAACTTTTTTTGAACAGATAAGGATGTTGGAATGGAACAAGGTTTGATTTGTTGCATTTGAGAGAAGAAATCTTTCAATTTACAATAAAACTTTTTTTGCAGATGAAAACATTGAAATGGCTGATGGTATTTATTTTTCTTTTAAGTGAAAAGTTCTTATGCTAATTCTTTTTTTGTGTAACACAGATAATATTGATCAAGGTGTTTTTTTTCCTTTGGGCTCAGAAAACATTTCATGTCTAACTCTTTTCACATTTTTTAGAAGATAATATTGAAATTGGTATGTGGTTTTTTGTCCAGTGAAAGGAATGTACTGGAGCAAATGTTTAGATGAGGATATGCACACTGCTGCACCAAACTTGGAAAGACCAAGTGACTATCTGAGAGGACGGTCTCCTTTGTGCTTTGGTGGAAAAGATTGGTCAAAGCCTGATGATTTGTATGTGGAGTTTTTGGCCAACACTATTATTGTGATCTCAACTTTTTTTTTGTAAGGGTTGATTTCATTGTATGCTTGTATGCTTGTTTCAAGCAAAAGTCGCGAAAGGCTCAGGGTAAAGAGCCACCTGCCCCTCGGAAGCATCCGGATACAGCATTCATCTCTTCAGAAGATGTCAAGGCAATGGAGGATATAGTCAATGAAATCCGCCCAGAGCCCAAATCTGGTTCAAAATAGTGTTTAAAGGTTCAGTCCATACGACCGCAAAAAACCGGTGGACCGAACTGAACCGGACCATGGTCCGGTCTTTTTTTCGGTTGCAGTTGCCCCAATTTGGGGTTGGTCCGGTTGCCGGTTGCCTCATTTCGAAAATATATTAAAACCGTTCAAAGACCGGTTTTGATCGGTTGCAACCGGTTAAACGGTCACGTGCGTTACATACCCTTGTAACCACGTTTATTACCTTTTATTGGGTTTTTGTTTCATCAAAAACGGTTAAGAATTGAGAAAGATATAACCAAATTCATATTTTACCTGAGTCTCTACGAGAAGTAATTCGGTTTCAGTCATAGCTATGTCAAATCTTCATAAAATCTCTTCAAAATTGGTAGAATGACGGGTATTTACATGCTTTACTATTTTATATAACCCATTTATTTTTCAGAGTAATAATAGTTGAGATACAAATGGTTTATATTGGTATAATAAATTATACGCAAAAAAACCGGTCTGGATCGGTC